TTTATTGGACCAACTTGTGTTGGTGAAAAAGACAAGCTTTCGAGCTCCACAGAGCTCTTCTTCAGGTCTTCAGAACAAAAGCTTTCCCTTTTCTGGGAAAAGGTACGGCAAATGGGAGCCCAGGCTCTCACCTTACCACAGCTGACCCTCTCATGGTAATTACATTCATAGACTCCCTTCATTGGAGGACTGTTCAAGAAGGTGATACATATGTAACTCCACTGAACACCTGAGGGACAATTGCCCTAAGCAAAGGGAAAGTAAGCCTACACACTGTGCAGTTCAGGTTAATGTAGCTGTCACAAACACAGAACTCCCCTCTCCCAAGATGTCTGGAGAGATCCTGATGAATTTTGATCCATTGAAGGTTGTTACGGAATTTATTAAAAATTGCCACGGTGAATGACAAGGAATACTAAGGTTGGAGAGATGCTGTAGCCCACATTTCTCTGGTCTGAGAAGGCATGGTAAGGAAATCTGACATGCTCACTAGGGGAAGTGTTGAACTACCGGCACTTGGAAAATTTAAAACCGCATTGTGCCTTGGCTAAAGTTCCCTTGGAGTGGGAAGATCTAAAAGGCATCTTAAAAGTTGCTGTGTTGGATTTCATTCCAGCAGGAGTGCTTGTGGGTAATGATTTATTGACTATGTCCAAAGTAGTTAATATATTAACTTGCAGCAGAAAGGACTATTACTTTGTGGTCCCATAAGGGAGTTGTGAAGACAGAGGAACAGCTGAAGGGGAAGGGTTATGCCCAGCCCTGGTTTAGTGGAGGAAGGTAGTGGGCCTCCAGGAATTAAGAAGGGAGGAGCCAATCCCAGTGGTTGGGGCAGCCATCAGCGGTAGCAGCAGGCAAGCATTTGCAATGGAATAAAGAGCAGACACAACCCTAGAGAGCCTAAGGGGTTGCATTCTCAGGGAAATCCCGGATAGGGGAAACAGGGAAAGTTGTGGGTGTGGTTTTTTTTGTTGTTTTGTTTTTTCTTTTTAGGAGGAAAGATTGTATAGGGAAGTTCCTATATAAGAAAAATAGAAGTTCTGGGAAACCTTACAAGCAGTTGATTGTGCCTGCTAAATACTGTGGGGAGTTAATACTTTTAGCCCCCAGGGCTGTCCTTGTGATGGTCACTCGGTGTCACAGAGGACATACAAGCAATTAAAAGGGAGTGAGAGGTCTATAGAAAAGTTACAGGC